ATAAATGCTATCTGATTCAGTGTCATGGTGGACAGAAACACTCTTCAAAGGAAAGCTGTGTGTTTTGAATATGCTGTGTTACTATTCAGTGATACATCATTTTCCCATTGTAAAACATACATTTGTTCAGACCTGTGGATTTATGAAATTTGTTTTATTACTCTAATGTCTATTGTGACATCTTTGCATAGCTTCATAGCCATAGGTATCCATTATGATGCTCATCATCCTGTGGTTCACATACATAATAACATCATCGGTGATTTCAGGACACTTAGGCTGCGTTAATTTCATTCAAAGAGGGCAAGTAGCAGACTTCACAGATGATCTGTACCCAGTGCCTGCTATATATACAGTTCTTTATTAGACTCTATGGCCATGCATAGAATAATGAATGTATAATTTAACAATGTTATATACTGCTTAGAGAACAGATGTTCTTAGGTTTTTTTAAAAAATTAGCTAAATATCTGTTCAAAGGATGCAGAGATTAAGTTAATCTTTAAAAAAAACTTGAAAGAAGTGAGTTTTTAAAAGTTCTTATTTTTAGTTCATGTGTAATAATTTACATATTTAGGAATACAGAGTGATATTTCATTATATGTATACAATTTGTAGTGATCAAATCAGGATAATTATAAATCCATCACCTCAAACATCTATTATTTTTGTGTGGGAAACATTCAATATCTCTTCTAGCTTTTTGAAACTATGCAATAAACTATTGTTAATTATATTCACTCTATGGTGTTATAAACCACTAAAACGTCTTCCTCTTGTCTGGCTGTAATTTTTTATCTGTAACCTAACTTTTCCTTGTCTCTGCCCTCGATCATTGCCAGTCTCCAAAAACCACAATTCTAATTTCTACTTCCATGAGACAAATTTTTTAACTCCCACATATAAGTGAGAAAATGCAATAGTTACCTCTGTGCCTGACTTATTTTATTTAACCTGCTGTCTCCCAGGCTTATCTATGTCGCTGCAAATGACATGATTTCGTTTCTTTTCTATGGGTAAACAGAATTCTATTGTGCATATATATCACATTTTATTTATTCATTCATCTGTTGATGAACATTTAGATTGAGTCATTATTGTTAATAATGCTACAATAATCATAGGGGTTCAATCTCTTTCATGAACCGATTTCCTCTTCTTTGAATAAATTCCCAGTATATTGGGATTGCTGGATCATATGGTGGTGCTATTTTTAGATTTTTAAGCAATTTTCCTGCTGTTTTCCATAGTGGCTATACTAAATTACATTTCTACCAGTAGTATATAGGAGTTTCCATTTTTTTTCATCCTCACAAATTCTGGTGAATTTTACAAGGCTCTCACTATGTTGCCCAGGCTAGCTTCAAACACCTGGGATCCAGCAAGCCTACACCACATACTCCTAAGTAGCTGGGACTACAGGCACATACCTCCATGCTCATTTTTTGTATTTTTGATAATAGATATCCTAAGGAGAGTGAGATGATATCTCACTGTGGCTTTGATTTGTAATTCCGTAATTATAGTGATATTGAACACTGTCATATATGTGTTGGCCATGTGTATCTCTTGTTTTGAGAACTATCTATTCAAATCATTTTCCCATTTTACAATCAGATTATTATTATTGCTGTTAAGCTGTTTGGGTTCCTTACATATTCTGTATATTAGTCCCTCGTTGGATGTAGAGTTTGCAAACATTTTCTCCCATTCGACAAGCTGTCTCTTCACTATGTTGATTGTTTTCTTTGTTGGGCAGAGGAAATAATCCTTTGCACAAGCAAGAAGAAAACTTTGCTTTTTAGTTTGATGTAGTCTCATTTGTCATTTTGCTTTTTGTTGCCTGTGCCTTTGAAGCCTTACCCATAAAATCTTTTCTAGATCAATGTACTGAAGCAATTTCTCCATGTTTTCTAATAGTCTTTTAGTTTTGGGTCTGCATTTAAGTCGTTAATTCATTTTAGTTGATTTTTATATGTGGTAACAGGCAGAAGTCTAGTTTCATTCTTCTACACATGGATATCCAATTCACTAAGCATCATTTACTAAAGAGGTTGTACTTTTTCCAGTGTACGTTCTGGACATTTTTGTTGAAAATCAGTTGGCTTTAAATATATGGATTAATTTCCGAATTCCCCGTTGTGTTTCATGGGTCTGTGTGCCTGTTTTTACACCAATGCCATGCTCTTTTGATTACTATGAAGTTGTAGTACATTTTGAAGTTAAGTAGCGTGATGCCTCTAGCTTAGTTCTTTTTGCTCAATATTGCTTTGGTTATTTGGGCTATTTTGTGGCTCTGTGTGAATTTTGGGATTGTTTTTTCTTTCTTCAAATAATTTCCTTGATATTTTGGTAACGTTTGCATTGAAACTGTAGATTGCTTTGGATAGTGTAATCATTTCAACAATATTAATTCTTCCATTCCATGAACACAGAACCTTTTCATTTTTTTTTTTTGATTCCTCTTCAATTTCTTTCATTACTGTTTTATGGTTTTCATTTTAGAGATCTTTCACCTTCTTAGTTAAATTTATCTTCAACTGGGTTTCTTTTTGTTTGTCATTAAATGGGATTTCATTTTTGATTTATTTCTCATTTACTTTGTTTCACCAAGGTTTGGAAACACTATTGCTTTTTCTATGTTGATTTGTATCCTGCAAACTTACTGAATCTCTGTATCAGTTCCAAGAGTTTTTGGGCGGAGTCTTTAGGTCTCTTAACAAATGGTTTCTTCTACCTGGAATATTTTTAATCTTTCGTTTGTTTGTTTGTTTGTTTGTTTGTTTGTTTTTGAGACAGAGTTTTGCTCTTGTTGCCCAGGCTGGTGTGCAGTGGCACAATCTTAGCTCACCACAACCTCTGCCTCCTGGGTTCAAACGATTCTTCTGCCTCAAACCTCCTGAGTAGCTGGAATTACAGGCATGGGCTACCACACCTGGCTAATTTTTTTGTATTTTTAATAGAGACGGGTTTCTCCATGTTGGTCAGCCTGATCTCAAACTCCTGACCTCAGGTGATTCACCCACCTCAGCCTCCCAAAGTGCTGGGATTAGAGGTGTGAACCACCGCACCCGGCCTTTTAATCTTTTTTTAATAATTCCTATTTGCTTTTTAAGATTAGCTGGATCACTACCTCCATATTAATTTTATATAATTAGTGTCATAGGGGTGCCCCCTACCTCCTGGGACCTAACCTGCTGTAAAATGGCACCATTTTGAGAGCAGAGCTACTACTAGAATGCATCCTGACCTGGGACCCAACAGACTGCATCTTCATTTCCCTGAGGCTTTGTCATCTTATATTTCTAGAGGTTAGGAACCAAATAAATCAACTGAGCTAAAATCAACATGTTAGTAGGGCTGAATTCCTTCTGGAAACTCTAGAACTCATTTTCTAGCCTTTTTAAGCTTCCCCATGCCACCTTCCTCAGGATCTGCCTTTTTTCACCTTGAAAGCCATCAACGTAACATCTTCCCTCCTTTCTTACCTCTATTCATATTCTTCATCTTCTCTCTCTGACCTTAACTCTACTGCCGCCCTCTCATAAGAATCCTTGTGATTACATTGGGTTTATCAGTATAATTCACATAAATCTCCTCAACTCAAGATAGTTAACTTATTCACATCTGTAAAGTCCCTTTTGCCATAAAAGATTAGGATGTGGAGATCTTTGGGGGAACATTATTTATCCTGCTATACACTCTTTTCAAATATGATCTTGAGTTAGAATTTGTTCCTCTTCCTCTGCATTTCAGAATCGTCATTATATATCTTTAATATAAGAAATTTTAGAATGACTTTGAAATTTGGGGCAATCTTTCTACCTTTACTGTTATTTTCTTGGTGACAAAATTGTGCATTTCATCTATGCAGTCAAACATGCCTGAATCTGGACCCAAGATTTCCTTGGTTTCATCCAGTGTAAATGCAGACAAGTTGTACTGGTGGCAGATATGAGAACAGATAGTGGAGCCAGGTACCTGGTCCAGATCTCATCTTACCACCTATTAGTGAGAAGCAGCTCCAATTTCTCAGTTTCCTCAACCACAGCTTGTACATAATTGTAGTATTTACTACATAGATTTATTGTATTAATAAATGAATATATGGAAATGGCTTAGATCAGTGATAAGCATATATTATTCACTCAAATCTGTTACTTATTATTACTTTCCACTTGTGAGATTAATGTAGGATTAAAGAGACAGTAGATAAAGCTGCAGCAAAATGCCTAGAACATAGAAAACTGTCCCTACATTCTGGTTTTTAATTTATCATCATAATCTCTATTAAGCAGAACAGGCTAAAGTCAAATAGAGTGAAGAACATATTGTGTTTGTAAGGTAGGACTTTAGTGAAATGCACTCAACTTTGTGCTAATAATCTGATGTTTCCAGCTTTCTTATTCTCAGACAATACAGTTATAGGGTTAAAAGATATGAAAGGTCAGTAGTGTTATAAGGATGTATATTATTAGTTTACTAATGAAATTTTAATAGCAATTACTTCCAACTTTTAAATATTGCAAAGTATTTTCAAATATCTTATCCCACGGGGCCTTGATGTTAGCTCCAGGAAGTATCTAGCAGCCCAGTGGCTACTTGATTAGACTTCTCAGACTATTATTATCCTTGCCACATTATAGCGCTTTAGTCCTGATATCATAGAATCTCCAAGTATTATTTATTTGTTTCCAAAGCAAATTGAGCTATTCCACTCAAATGATTACAGTAAATAGAATAGAAACTTGTGGAATCATCTTCCTCTCTCGTAAGTGAAGAAACAGCAAAACAGTACATTTCAGCTGCTCCAGGTTCCTCAAATAAGTTTTACTTTTGCAAAACGAACCTCTAACTTCCTACATTCTCTGTTCTGCATTGTGAGCAACATGACCAGCAGCCACGTTTGTTGTAATTTTTTAAATATGTGGAAAAAAAGCAAGATATCAACCATGTATTACCTTAATCAAGATGCCAAATTATCTAACTTGTTTCTCCAGGCAAGCAGCCCAACCACAGGGACAGCTCCCAGGAGCCAGTCAAGGTTGTCTGTGTGTCCATCTACTCAGGACATCTGCAGGTAAGTGCTGAACAAATTATCTTATTCAATATTCTTTGGATCAGTATTTTATATTCTTGCTTTTTATTCTGAGACTGTGTGGCTCTTGCTTCTGCTTTACATCATCCATAGGCAATTTATATTAGCTGTTTTTTTTTCATTTGGTTCATTTTCTTCAATTGACCTTTATTTATCTACTTCTGGTCCATACTATCATTTTCATCATTCTCTCTCTCTCTGTTTTTCCATGGCTTTCCTCTCCATTCCCATTTCCCATCCTTTGCCTACTGCGCTGTCTAGATCTGCCATCTTGCATGACATGTCAGAAGAGTCATTTGAGTATTGCACCCCTGTCATGGTGCTGAGCCCTGCTAGGAAGGAGTCTGGTAAGAAACCAGTAAAACAAAGACCTAGGAGGAGGAGAAAGGCCTCTGAGAGACATGAGCATGCTGCAGAAGAACAAGTAAGAGGGAGAAGAAATGACTTTCACCTCCAAATCTCAAGCCCCAGGTGGAGGGAGCTTTACACAGATTCTTCAGATTCATCTTCCTCAGATGAGAGTCATTGGATTCAGGCAAAAAGAAGAGCCCAGGTTAAATTCAGATTGTCAAGGAGAAGGAGGAGAAATAATAACAAGCTGTGTGAAAACGTAGCTGGGTCTTCCACCCCTAATGGAATTGAGCTTGTTGATTTGGGACCCAAAGGTAAAGAACAACATGAGCTGATCGAATGTGAGAGTTGCTCTTTAAATCTCCGCAGAGGAAAAGGTACAAGGTACCATGAATGCAACACTTCTCTGACTCAAGGATCCTCCGAAATTAAGAGCTCCTCAAGAAGTCGTGAGAAGAGCAAAGGTAGATATCACCACAGAGATCCTCAGCTCTTGCAAAGCCTTAGGAAAAATGAAATAATAAAGAAGAAATTTTCAGAAACAGATTCCAGCACTGAAATACTGGCCGTTACAGAAGGTGGCAAGGACATGAATGATGCAGGGCTCCATGTGAATAACCCTGTTCAGAAGCCTCCTGCCACCTATGACGATGGGTCTGATAATTTAGAAGTATGCAGGTCAGTTACCATAGAGAAAGGCTTGATGTCATCAAAATATAGTTCTTGTTGCTATGAGTTAGGTGTGTGTTTGACACCTACCCTCAAAACTTAACATTTATTTACAGTATTCTTTTTCTAATTGGATATAACATGATAAAAGGAGAAAAGGTGGGTATGAAAATAACAATGCAGATATAAACATGGGTTCGAAAGCTGTTACCAAGTACAATTAGATATTCCCTTCCGTTTCATTGCATAATGATTTATCCTGGGAAAGGGGCTGACTCAGTTGAGTCTTGCACTCATTCTAGTTAGGATAATAATAGTGGGGGAATTAAGAGTGAGACTGTGTGAAACGTTAGACTTTTCAATGCAAATCGGATGAACTGCTGGCATCCTGACAGATATTCAAGGCTTGCATTCTTTAAGGGCAGCTTTTTGTATCAGAAAATAATCTTCTCTGCAGTTGGCTTTAATTTGTTCTCCAATTGTCTGACTCAGCAGGGTAACTGAAGACTCAAAGGACATAGAAACAGGTCAGGGACATATCAGTGGGGTTGCAAGAGCCTTTAGGGAAGAGGACCACATTACCTTTACTGATAAACATATACTGAAAGGTTTCAACATGGGATATTTTTAGCCATGAGACAGCTTTCTTGCTCTTTTCAGCCCAACAGCATATATTTTCAAAATAACCTTATGTAAAAAGAATTATGGGAATATCCATGCTAGTGTGCGTAAACGAGGCAATTGCAAACAAAACAATATATTTTCACATTTTCATATTACACCCAATCATTTAAGCTGTTTACATTCTGTATAAGAGCAAATGAAGATTTTCACTATGCAATATTTGGTATGTTTTGGTTTGTTTTTATAAAAACAGAAGTTACTTTATAAAATATGTATACATATTAGTGTGAATTGCATGACCCAAAGAAGGGTGCTCATGTCCATTCAGGGCAGGAGTGAGAAGAAGAATTAAACTCTGCCTGTGAATAATATAAGAATGGCTTGTTTCTCTGAAAGTTTTATAGGATAGCCATTCATAAAATCCCCTTTTACTTTTGTGTTCAAACATCTATTATGCATTGGGCTTTATTCTAGGCAAAATGTTATAGTGCATAAGATTTCTGTAGTCTCTGGCATCTTACAGCTTATAATCTATTGTAGAACACAGACCAAAAACAAATTAATTCACAGTTGATATATAATTATAATCATGAAAAGAACTATGAAAGCACATAGCAAGGAAACTTAACCTATTTTGTGGGAGATGAGATAAAAACTAAGTAAGTGACAAGCAGGCTAAGGCTCAAAGGATGACAGGATCTGATCAGGAGAGAAGCAGGAAAGACCGTCCAGGCAGAGGCAGCCACTGGCAGGAAGCAGGAGGAGGGAGTGAGTTTGGTAATCCAGGAAATATAAAGCTTGCTATTGTAGCTGGGATGTGGTGAGTAGGGTGGTTGTTTGGTAGAGAGAAGGATGGAGAAGTGGCGAGGGATAGACTGCACAGGGCCGTGTGAAGCATGCTACGGGACTTAAGGGGGATTTACAAAGAAACTGTCACCATTTAATTTATATATAAATATAAATTTCTTATAATCTTTTGATTATGATTTATGTGTATCTTTTCTGAGAAGTTACGGGATGGACCAAACCACTCTTTCTAGTCTGAATGGAGAATTTCCCACTTGCCACCATCTGTTGTCATTCCCCAAATCTAGCTTCCAGCATAATCTAATGAAAGACCGTCAGAGAAGCTAGTTGTAGGCTTAATGGTAATTGGAGAGAAAAATAATGCTTGCAGTTAAAGTCATAGTGGCTGGTTCTCCTAACTTAAAAGCACTATTCTTGAGAAACATTTTCAAAGACTGGATATTTAGCTTCAACTGCTACTAATGAAAGTGAGATAGATGAGCCTATAGGTATTATTTCCTGCTAGAGATTACCATCAAAATACTAAGCAAATGCTGCAGGCAGCATGTTATACTAGAGGCTGAGGATACAAAGTCACAAAAGACTTGATTCTTCTCTTAAGTGGCTTATGATCTAAGTGGCAGAGATTGAACACATACCCAGAAAAAAAAAAAAAAGTCCGTAAGACAGTACAGGATGAATGTAAGAAGAAGAATACTTCAGGATTGGAAAAAAGAAAATTTGCCGAGACCTGGGATGATCTAGAAACCCTTTAAGAAGAGGAGGGACTGGAGCTGAGAAAAGCAGAATTTACATTAGAACTCAAGGCAGGGGAAATACCATTAGCACAACAGGGATTGGATACTGACACTTGTATTTACCAATTTTACATGAACTTACACGACTAGGTTGGAAGGTTTGCATAAACTGATAAGAAATAATTCTTTTAAAAAGACATTTTGAAGAAAACATACATATTCAGAACTGTTTATTCTGTAAATCCTTGTTTTCAAACTCCATCAATGGACCTCTTGAGTTCCAAAGAGGCTGCCTCCAAAGCTGAGGCAGGTCAAGGAGACTGTGCTTCCCTCAGCCCAGCTTCAGCCAGAATACCCTCACAATTATGTCTCTTATGTAGTGGGGCTCTACATAATATTCCTTTAAGAATAAAAAACGTTCAAGGGCAAAAAAAAATACAGAAAGGCCTTTTCTAAATAAAATAGGCTTAAGGAAGTCACATCTATAGTGCAGTCACCAATGTCTCTGATAAAGGAACCTAGATTTAGGAAATGGATGTACCTTGTGTGTTGTGTAAAATACTAGGATAATAATGGATAGGAAAGGAAAGAACAAATGGAAAATTAGCATTCCACCAGGTGAATAGAGACAATCTCAGAGTTTGGATTTGATGAGAGCATAAGATAGAGGAGTCAAGAATGACTCCAACTCTTGGAACTGCAGAAAACAATAAATGCTGATATTAATGAACGAAGGCAGAAGAGAACAGAGGCAAGTTAATTTAGGAAGGACACAGTGAGTTCAATTACAGGCAAGCTATTTGTGGTTTCAGTGACATTCCAGGGTCAGCTGTCCAGCAGAGAGTGAGACATGTTATTGAAATGCAGAAGAGCAGTCAGAGTTGGATGTGTACAATTTTTCACTAATCAGTGAACTACACACAGCCTGACACTAAACAATGGCATGTGTGCATTTTTTAACACAATGTATTAGCACAGGTTACTAAAGATATTAAACACTGAGAAATGTATTCAAGGCCAGGGAAGGCATAGAGATTTGGGAATTATTCTCAAGGAGGTAGCAGCAATGTTTGGAAAGTGAATTAAATCCAAACAAAATATTGGGGGTAGGAAAAAAAGATACCTTTGATCTCTAGAAATGGACAGAGCCTGAGCACCAGGGTCTTCCGTGTAGGCAGAACAATGACCCCTGAGACAAGCAGCAATTGCCTGTGAGCTTGCACTCTCAGACACGCATAGCAGGAGCAGTCTCAGCCACAACCACAGAAAGGAAGAAGCTCTTAAGCTTTCTTCCTTTTCTGTTCCTGGCATATGGTCCTCACATGCATGCTCTATTCTTTTTCCCTCCTTCATCACAGCCTTATTTAGAGAAACTATCTCTATCAGCCCATTATACCTCATAGGGAATTTAACTCAACATACTATTATATGCACAGTTATTTCCACAGTACAGTGGAAAAGTCTTTGCTTTAAAAATAAAAAGTAAAAAAGAATTGCATTTAATTAAAAAGGCAAACAAACATGAATCAGATCATGTTAGCCCATGATTGAAACTTTTTCATGGCTTATAAATTTCCTTCAGTGAAAGGTGCAAAATCTTTAATATTTACAAGTCCCTGTTGATGGCTCTATCAGATCTGCCTCTCTCACTCCACCACCCATCATTAACCATGACCTTCTCATGCTGGTCTGCTTTCCACTCCCTGGAAGTGTTCAGGCCCTACCCCTTTCAGGACCTAGAATGGCTTTACCTTACCTCTTCAACTCTTCTCCATACAAATTCCAATTCTTTCTCAGTTTAAATGCCATTTGTTTAGGAAATGGCTCCTGACCTGCTAACCAACACGCAGGTTCCCTGGAGTTACTTCCATAGGATAATTTTAATTGCTAAAATATAGGCATTATTGTGATTAACTGTGTCAAATTTGTTCACTGCAAAATCCGAAGTATCTGGAAAAATGCCTGGCAGCTAGCACACTCTCAACACATAGTTTTTGAATGTATAGCTTTAGGGAAAATGTACTTTTCTAAGGGAATAATTCTTAGGATGCAAAATTGTAGCACTATATGTTGGATTGCCTCACCTGCTACAGGACCAACATGTAAAGAATACTCTACACCAGCAGTTCTAAAACTTTAGTGAACGTCAGTGTCAACTGAAGGGTTTGTTAAAACGCAGATTCCTGGACCCACCCTTAGAGTTTCTGATGCCCTTACTCTGGGATTAGGTTCGTGAACTTGTATTTTAAAAATGTTCCCAGGTGACACTAAAGCTTCTGATGTAGAAACCACATTTTGAGAAATGCTATTCTACGCTACAAATCATTCCCACACTTTAGATAGGAAGAGAAAAGAGAAAAAAGAATCTAAATTTGAAAGGCCAAGTGTCTATAGTTTTTTTTTTTAATCATATTCCCTTGAATGCTGACACAAAGCATGACTATGTTACATTCCTGTATTTCACAGTTACACCAATACAGCATGGGGTGTGTCACCAAAACCATAGGCTGGCAAAGTCCCACCTCTACCAGGAACTCAAATGTGGTTTGGTTGTTACTTGCATTCAAATCCACTTCCTCATTTCAACTACCTCCATTTCTATCAGTGAGTCCACAGGTTTCCTGGATTTTCCATTTTTGACCTTATTCCTCCCATACTGTTGCATCCAATGTCCAGCAAAGTACTGTCATTTCTTCCTCCAGATATCGGCATCTGATCTGCCCTTTCGTTCTCAATCCCGGTGTTCTATTTCAGTCCTTTCCTGCGCTTTCCATCTCCACCACATCCACTCTTTAGCCCACTACTTGTTTTGTTAAAGACTTTTCTAATGAGATAAAAGCA